TGTCTGCTCTTGCTAGACCAGTGTTTCTTAAACTTTTTAAGACCGAGGAACACCAAACAGTATTTTTTTTTTATGCAGAACCCCAAGGATTTTTTCCTTGAGGAAAAAAAGAGGGAGCGGGGTTATTGAGCAGGGCAAAAAAAAAAAAAAAAAGGTCACCTGGCCCTTTAAGAGTGGCCATTTTGAACTCTATTTTCCATGGCACACTAGTGTGACACAATTTAAGAAACACTGTCCTAGACCAAAGCCCGTTCAAAGCTCTGGAGTGTATTTTCACAGAATCAAATAGACTTTGGCCCCCAAATTCTCATGCCCAACAGGATCTGGATTCTAGCTTAGAAATTAAGAACGGCCAGACTGGGTCAGATCAAAGGTCCATCTAGCTAGTATCCTGTCTGCTGACAGTGGCCTATGTCAGGTGCCCCGGAGGGAGTGAACAAAACAGGGAATCATCAAGTGATCCCTCCCATTGCCCATTCCCAGCTTCTGACAAATAGAGGCTAGAAATACCATTCCTACCCAGCCTGGCTAATAGCCATTGATTGACCTAACCTCTATGAATTTATCCAGTTCTTTTCTGAACCCTGTTAAAGTCCTGGTCTTTACAACATCCTCTGGCAAGGAGTTCCACAGGTTGACAGTGCGCTGCATGAAGAAAAATTTCCTTTTGGTTGTTTTAAACCTGTTGCCTATTCATTTCATTTGATGACCCCCAAGTTCTTATCTTATGGGAGCAAGTAAATCGCTCTTCCTTACTCACTTTCCCCACATCTTGTTTTTGTAAATTACCTGCCTCTCTTTTGTCCCTCCTCTTAGACCCACGCTTGACTCCCTTCCGCTTCTGCCTCATGTCTTGCTTTCATTCCTGCAATTCAAGGGTTTGGGGAACAGTGAAACATGAAGATGAGGTTGAATCCTTCCCGCGTCAAGCATCACATTGGACCCAAACCAAGGCCCCTCCAAGCTGGCTATCCTGGGTCGCTCAGTGCCTGTCCCTGGTGTTAAGTCCTGTACCTTTCCTCTCTCTGAGTACAGTGATACGGAGCAATTCTTTAGGCTGTCTCATTGGTGTGTGGCTCCAGGGGCCTGATAAATCCCCTGCCACAGCAGACGCTCTCCCTTCCGTCTTACCGCATCCCAGATTTCCGTATTCTCTTCTGGGTAACGTTTGAGAGAAGGGCTGGCTGCAGTCCCTGGCACATCTTGGCCTTGGTCATCACTTCACGCCACTCGACAGCTCGCATTTTCCTGAGGCATTTGCTTTGGAAGGGGAGGGGTGTTCAGAGGCTGCCTGTACCAGGGGCCAGCCTGCCACAGAGCCAGTCTCCTGGGAACTCAATGAGCGCAGCTGGCCCTGGTAGAAGCTGTCTGATTGACTGCGCTCTCTGACCTACACTCAGCAGCAATGGCAATTCAGTGGGCAGCTGCGCTTGTTTGTGTCCCTGTTCCAGCCCCAGCACCCGGCTCTGTCTAGGCTTCTGACCCTCAGCTACGCCTCCTGACCAATGTTCCCTCTAACTTTTTCCATCCATGTGCAGAATAAATGTTGTGTGCACCAAGACCTGTGTAGACGTGCACTACCAGTAAAACACATACTGCTGGTAGTGAGCATTCTGCTAATCAGAAGGACGGCATTTGAATCTCACCTGGGTGCTTAGCTTAC